CAGCAGGAAAACCCTTCGTGTTTGGTGCAGATTCAGTGTATTCATTTCAGTACTGTCAAACATAACCAACTTCTTTTGCATTAAAATGACCTGTGGAGAGTGAGTGCAGCCATTCTGTCCGAGTTCACGACAGTTGCTTTCTTTTTTTAAAGGAGTTTTGTGGAGGCTGTAAGCCCTTTTTCTGGACCACGCACAATATGTTAAAGTCTTTTTAGTGATCGCACAACGTATCACAAATACTGATTAATATACATTCTCCCATGAAGGACCACAAGTTTGTCTAAGCATCTCAACACCCGTTTGAGTATCTGTCTAAGCATCTCAACACCCGTTTGAGTACCGTTACCGACTTACAGAGAACATACGATAGCTGTGAACCTGAAAAAGAGACATAACTACAAGGGGAAAAAAGGAAACTGACAATGAGAAAAGCAATTTTACCGTTCTATACACGCTGCCACGCTACAACTTTAACCTGTCAAGATTAGAAATTAATTCTAGATAGCAGCATCCTCAACATGCAAAAGTATAAAACATTCCTCCTTTTAAAAACTGTTTTATGTCGAAAACCTGCAGGTGCAATGTGCCGCTATTTATTTTCCGCTACAGCACTAGTGAATACTGGTTCCTGCTCGGGACGATTTCCCGTCTTCGCTACTGGAACGAAGGGAGATGACAACAGCCTGCTGTAACCGTCTTGCTACCAGCTGCTGAACTCGCTCTGCGGACTGTCTCGCAAAACTGCTATAATCTACCAACCTGCCTTTAGCACGGCACTTCAGCTCCACCGCCCGGGCAATCACACGGCTCCAGCACCGAGCGCTAAGGGATCAAACCGCCGCACCGATATGCAGCCATGTCAACTGGCCAAGAGAACAGATGCCAAAGAGTAAGAAAAATGGATGCCAAAGAAAAAAAATTAACTAACATTTCTTTAGTAAGGATGATGCGGCGGACAATGTAACAACTGAAATAAATAGAACAAAAATTCATGCTTATTCTTAGGGAGAGGTTGCATGGCATTACTGCAGTAGAGCAGTTTGGGAATCAAGACAAGTTAAGGCGATAATCAAAGGAAAGAAAGGTAAAATGTCTTTCAAAAGACCCAAATAATTCTGTAATTATAACTGGATTCTGAGGGCACCTTCCACAGTCTTCATTACACAGACAATTTCTCCTAGTTTACTCTCGTGCAAGCAGACTAAAGATTACACCACCCAGGTTGTACCTTAAAAACTATTTCCTGATTAAATCTCTACTCAGGGATTAAAGAATTATCCATGACACATCATCTTTTGAAAACTAGCTTTAAAAGAACACTTAAAAGAGGATTCTACTGATGTGAGCGAAGCATGTACAATTTTCTGTTTGATCCACACTGAGCGGCTCCTCCGCAGCTCGCTCCTACTGCAGCGCGCGGGCAGCGTACGGTCTGTCGCAGGCGCTTCAAATTCCCCTCCAGGAGGTTGTTTCCAAACTCATTCTCAGATCCGCAGTTTCTCGATAAAGATGTGAAACGGGAAAGAGCTTTTTAAAATGGTATTCAGGTACCTGAAGCAAAACCTCACAACCAAAAGAGGAAGACAAAAAAAAAAACCCCACATCTTCTCCAGCACATTTTGGAGGAAGAAAAGACAAAATCAGCCTGGTCGAAGGTTTTGGAACTCTTTCGGCAAATTCACGCTTGTTTAAGTAACGCTCTACAGTCACCCTGCAATAAGCGACTAAAGGTTGAACCGTCTTTAAGACAATCTGTTCGCTTCGCAGACCTAACCTGAATTAGGACAGAGCCACGTGAAAAGAAGCTTTCCCAACGTGCTACAGAAGAGGGGAAAGCATTTGCAACGCCTCCCTTTAGCAGGTGTGGCGTACAGCACAAAACGGTTTTCAGCCAGAACGTTTACGGTGGTCGCTGCCTTGTCCCAAAGCTTATGCAACTCAATATAGTGCTATTTATATTATATGACAATTAGCCTGGAAACAGAGGCTAGTTTCATTTGCATGGCAACAAAGCAGACTTTCAAAAAGCTGTCAAAAATAATCAAAGAAGCTAATGAAATGTTATGTGAATCACCTGCGGATTTTGCTTTCTCCAAGATTAAATGCCTTTGGGGATATGAGGAAACTCTTTCTATTAAATGCAAATCAGAGTTGAAGTAAAGACTAACAGGACAGGAAATAAGAGCCTAACAGAAAATAACAGAAGAAAAGCACCTATACTATCAATCATTAAGTAAAACGGTCTAAAAAACCTCCCTTTGCAAAGACTGTAAAAAAAAAAAAAAAAACCAAAAACCTCAGAGTCCTTTTGCAAGATCATACGAAACTGGGAAATGCTGTATTTTTAGATCAAAGAAGGTTATCAAGAAGAGAAAGAACATGATCATTCAGGCATTGGGACATGCTAGATTCCTAAAACGTACTTGAACTGGAAGTTGAAGAACACTGAAAACAAACAGGTCTAGGCAGACAGTATTTTCCTGTTTTGTTAACTCAACCGTCTAAGCCATGGCAGATACGGAGAAATTCTTTAGCAGTATCTAGTCGTCCATATCAAGCCACAATTTCTATTCTGTACCAAATATATTTGTGGACTGATATTTAGAAGTAGGATCACAAGCATTTACCACGTCAGAACTGATTCACTGGAATGATTTTATTTGAATACTTTGAGTAATATATCTCAATATTTTCTTTCAAAAACCTCTTTCCTATAGGCATTAAAGCGGAGCTCATTGTTCCACCTCGCATATGTGCTGCTTCATACTTGCGAAGCAGCTCAGCTTTCCACGGCAGTAAGTGCTTTCCATTGGAGCTTTTTTTTTTTAATTTCTCACAGCTGCCTGTGAAAATCTTACTCCCTATTCTGAAAACTTGTGACGGGTATTAGAGTACCCGCTGAAGAAAAAGTAAGTGGGGCATAGGGCCAAAGTCTTGAGAACACAGACTGAACAATGAGTATTTTACCAGAGAGCGGTTAAAAAAAACACCGACGCTACTTCGGCTTACAGGTACGACCAATCCTCAGCACATCCCTCTACAGCAAAACGAAGAGCCAGAAGGGAACAGCTCCCCGTACCAGCCTGCGATCCGCACGCCCTGGCCAAAGCCACAGCCAGGCTTTACGTTTTATAGCCTGCCTTACAACAGGCTCTTACAAATCAGATTTTATTTTCCTATTTGTGGTTTGTAATTGTTCTTGATGGGGCCATTACAAATCTAATACTCAGTCAACATATGATTTTGTTGATTTTTTCCACAGGGTGCAATATATTCAGCAGGTCAGCGCTCATCACCAGTCCCACTGCTTTCATTTCTCACATCACCCTCTGCTCAGGCGTTCTCTGCGTAGCCTCAGCGGATGATCACAGTTTGAGGCTACTCCTGTGTTAAAGAAAACTTGCGGAGAAACTGATTTTACTATGTGCTTCTCCGGAATTTTATGGGAGCTAACTATCTTTCATGGGCAGCAAAGTATGACAGATTCCCAGCATCTCCCCTGAGTCTGGCACTCCACAAAGCTAGTTAACGCACGGAGCCGCTACGATCTGAGGCATACCACCCCCCACCCCAACAAACAAGTTAACAGAAAAGCAGGGAAGCAGTAGGGAAGCAGTCTGCCTGCAAGGAAGAATATTGACTTCTAAAAATAAAGATTTACTTATGCACTTTTTAAAAGGTCTCTTAACATGTTCAGCCTTCTGCTGTACACGATCTCGCTTTGGCAAACATACCAACATCTCATTTACACCTAAATCTAGCCATCAAAATTAATAAGAAAATACATCCGGAAAGTTCCAGAGTAGTTCACCATACTTAAAGCTCTTATTTCAGAAGACCTGTGGAGGCACTCTTACTAACACGACACTTCCTTGCGGTCACTTCTAAAACGTAGCCACAATTCTGCAATAAAGTGACAGGACAATGGATTAACTAGAAGGACAACGGCTGACTTGCAAAAAGTGTCTGTGCACAGAAAAGTTTTACTTGATCCTTACCAAATGTTCACATCAAATGTTTTATCTCCATAATAAGTGCAAAGTAAGACATGTCCTGCACTTTCCTATTATGACACCTGTACACTGTAATTTCACTGCTAAATTCAAGGAAGTCGAGCACATAATATTATAAACATACCACTTTTACAGACTGTTAACAGGAAAAACTATGTAGTACCCTATTTACCAAAGTCAAAATCATTACGTGTATATACAAGCTGACATTATTTTTCCATAGCTTAAGGTATGAGAGCTAAAAAGAAAAATAGAAAAAAACAAAGAAATAGATGAGACCACCTAATAAAGGACTGTTGGTAGAAGTCTATTTGATGTTTCTAGGTGTAAGGAAAACTCCAAAAAGAGTATTTTGGATAATGTGGCATCATCAGTTTTTTGATCAGGCACGATAATTAATTAAAAATCATTTCAGGGAAAATAACTCCTAACTTAGTTTCATAGCAAGATTTCATAGGTACTCTAAAAGTTAAAAATTGTTTGGATTTCTATACTCTTACCAATTTTTAATTCATTCATCAGACTTTCTTTTGTAAGATCCAGAAGTTCTTTGCCATCAATGTTATTCATTTGGAAAATCTCAACAAGGTCCGTTAAGCCCTGCGCGTGAAGCCAGGTTGAAACGTCTTCCTCTGACCAATTCTCAACAGCCATCTCAGATTCATTTTCTATGATATTTCCTTTGAAAAAAAGATGATAAGAGATAGTAAAAAAACCCAAACAACAAGGAAACAAGAACAGCTCTAAGAACGATGGCCGCAGTAGGCCACATTTTCCAAGTTCTCTCACCTCTATACACTCCCCAAGGTCTAATAAAAGAGGTCCTTATTAGACCCTCATTCAGCGGGGACATTGATTTGGGTTTGTCCTTTACCTGTCTAATTTCAAAGCTCAGAAGAATTTAATCTAATAGATGTCCAGGTGATGTATCCTAAGTGACCCTGCTATATTATCTGAATTAAACTAAAAGACTGAAAAGTGTCAGCAAACACTCTTTAGAAAAGCAGACTGAACTCCAGACTTATTCCTGCACTTTGAACAAAGGTCTAACGTTTCTTTGTTGCATATACTTTATGTGCTGATGTACAGTGTAATATTAATTATTCTATTTACTTCATCTATAACAACAGGCAAATGGCACTTCTTGTTGACAATTATGTTTGCAATTAGGATATTTTCTGTTTAATCCATTGGTAATGGTACTTGTGCATAAAGGACTTAGAGCTCTGGGAGTAACACTCATCTCTTAAATGCTGTCCAGGAGTAAGAAAAGGAGAATATCAGAAAGGAAGATACAGCACATCACTAAAACTACAATATTTCTAATAGATTTTTTCTTTAAAAAAAATAAAAAGAAAATACCTATCTAGGACATAATCAGGATCAATTCTGAGATAAGACAAATCTTGTGCCACATAGTCCTGAAGTTACAGATTTAATGCATGTAAGAAATTTTTTTTTCTGCATCTTCAGAAGATATGTAATAATACTGCACTTAAAGTATAGAGAAGAGGTTACAAATACTTCATATACTAACCTGAACAGGGTTGCTTACAGTCAAATTGCCATATATTCACAGTTTTATCCATTGAACCTGTGGCAAGTAAGAGAATACACGGTGCAAAAGCACAAGTTGTAACATATCTAGAAATAAAAAACAAATGCAGGAAATATAACATGAAAAGGTTTTATTTTATTAATAGTAGAACAGAAGAATTGTACTGAATTCATACCTGGTATGTTGAGACAAAGTATGAAGGATATTGCCAGTACTCTGTAAAAGAAGTACTTGTATTTTTAAATGCAAAAGAATGTTTATATATATATACACACACACACACACACACACACATATATACATACATACACACAGTATACATACATATAAAATATAAGAGTTCATTCATTTGTACACTTCCTTACAAAGATAAGGAATAATACTTCATTTTGGGAGACAACAGAAGTGACCTTCAGAGAAGGTACATTACCAAAGGTGGTCAGCAGCAGTCAGAAACACAGCTGAAACTTCCTGCTTGAAGTTCCCCATTCAATTCACTGGAACTTGGCTATCCTTCAACAATAAGCCAGCATGGAACTTGCACCATAATTTTAGAAATATCAACTGAATTTATTATATTTTTCCAAAGCTCCATGTTGGCTGATTGCTTACGCAGATAACAACATTTCTTCTACAAACCTAGGATTACAAATGACTTAGAGGGAGGTAGCAACCGAAATTCAGATGGACCTCAGGCTACAGCCCTCAAGAAACAGGGCAATAATAGATCTAAGATTACGCTCTGTGGTTCACCTATTTGGCCACTAGATGCTACTACATACAAAAACAAACTCCATAATCGCTGCACACTTTTAACCCATCAGCTGCAAGATTTCTTTCTCATGAAAGATACTATTTCTTTGACAGGTACAGAAGAATTAAAAGATGAACAGCAAAGCTATTCCAAAGTTTTACTGATACGCCAATTGATCAGTCAGTACTCCAGTTCTTCTGAACTGTCCATCGTGAAAGTGTCCCACTTTAGGCTGAAACTTCTCTCCCCTCCCATGCAAGTTTATTGTCCCCACCTGTCCTCACCCTTAGCAGCCGAAGACCGGCAAGGCATGTTATTCTTGTACGGTTTAGTAAAAAAACTGAAGCTAAAAGAATGATCAAATATTAGTATTTAAGAAGCTTTCGCTTTTTTGGCGTGCCATAAATCTAGAGGGCTAACTACATACCAGCCTAAGCATCAAACTATTAACATAATTGAGCCAAAATTGGGAACGTATAAACTTAGTTATTTTGGAGGAAAACTGCAACCCTACTTAAAAAAACAGATCAGTACAACAGTATGTGCAGATCAAGCTGGAGAAGCTTAAAGACTTATTCATCCTTAATTTTCAGTAAAATTAATATTTTTAATACTACAAAATACTAAGGTAGGTATACTATGTACAGGTGAACCACAAAGGATGTAGTAACAATGTTACATAAAATGCCCAAACTGCAAGTTTTAAAGAAAGGCTATTACACTCAATATAAATTTTTCTACTGGGTGAACTGAACTCTTCATTACGCTTCTACTTTATGTACTTTATATATAGTTTACTAAAGGATTTCTATAATCACCATTCCTGATTTTCTTATATCAAAAGCTGCAGTTTTTATTGCTCTGGATGTTTTGATGAAATTTAAGATCAACAACAATCTTTCTACTCCAATATGAAGATAATGTATAAGTACAGAATTCACTGAATAATACTATTACAGGAGAACTGTAGAGAAATCAAATAACAAACCCTCAAAGAAATGAAAATGATGAAGGAGAGTGAGAGAGACTTACTAGTAAAAAAAATACCTTTCCCCCGAACGCCCCTGTCTCAAATCCCCCCCCCCCCACCCCCCAAAGGCACAGGAAATATTTTGGGTTTATATAGTATCTATTCTTTAATATTTATTTATCTTGATGAAACACTGCAGAAGCAGTGGTGATATTTAAAGACAACAATCCAGTGACTATTCTTGCATTATAGGATACTTACAGTTTCATATATTAGGACACATTTGTCCACAGACCTTTAAAAAAAAAACAGAGATGCGTAGAAATGAATAAGGAAACAAAATGATTTTTAATTACAAAACTCTGCAAACAAAATAAGAACAAACAGAGCTTTTAGCATCAATTTATGGAAAAAGTAGATAACTAAGTCCCCTCCACCCATACCCAATTTAGATATAGGACACTGAGTAGATGGGCATACAGCATGAAGTACAAGCTAACAGCTATCTCCAAAAACTCTGCACTTCCAAGAGAACTTCTGATGTAGAGGATTTGTACAGTGCTTATGCCAACTGGCCCCATCCCCACTGCTTCCCATTGTCTGTACCATGTCTACTTCTGGTCTTTGCAAGAAGTACCTGTACTATCAGCTCCACTATGCACAGAATCTGGCCATCCATTATTTACTTTCAGCATTTCTATTTATTTTCGAAACCTTTTAATTTGCAAAGCAAGATAGAGGAAGTGGTGCAATGCAATACATAAATTAGTTCATGAAATATAAATTGCATAGTTCTTTACCATGATAACAGTGTTTACTGAAAGACTGCATGGAATAGATACATTTGTATAGCTGTAAGTTTATTTGCTGGCTACCCTACTATACTCTGCTCCTTTCTTTTGCAACAGATCAGTTTTTCCATTTCAGCTTACAAGTTAGAATTCTAGTAAATAATTTAGAATTTTAGTTAAAAAAGACAAAATGTAGAGAAGAAATATTGGTCATTTTAAATTGCTACTTTGACAGTTTAGAAGTGCCTATGTATGTTTCTCATACAATGCAGAATAAAAGCATAGTCACTGATATGCATAAAAACATAAATAATTATATCTACCTTATTTAATATTTCTGCATTTAATAGCTCTGGTTTTTTAACCTCAACTTCACTTCCCCCCTTCACACATCACTGATCTTTCCTTAAGAAATCATTACTATATTGAGAACAAAGTCAGGCTACACCATCACCATAATTTCGGAGCACAGGCTATGTATTCTTACTGGCAATTGCATTTAAACACACGATAATATCATTATTACAAGTTGAAGTTTTACTACAAGTATACGTATTTTATATGATCAAGATGCAGAGCTAAGTAATCTGTATTTTTACCTAAAAGATCCAATCAATCCCAGACTGTGTTTTTATGTCTTACTGAAATGGACAAAAGTCAGCAAACGACCTTAATATATAGCATTGATTTGTTACTAAGCAGTCTGCTTTCAAAGTAAAATCATGTGATTGCGCTTGCTGAAACATATTTAGGTTTTTCTGCAACGCTGAATTCTTATTTAAATGCAGGGCTCTCATATAGACCACTACCACTTAGGACACTCCACGGCGCTTGTATTTTTTTTTTATGAGATGGAAGTGAAATTCAAGTATTAGTTACATAAGACTCTTTTTTTTTTTTTTTTTTTTTTAAAGCGCCCACTTGCTTTTTTCAAGTTGTAAACCTCTATCTAGAATTTCCTTCTAACTCCTGGGTTATGTGACAGTTTCAGTGAAAGATTATCTATATGAAACATAGGAAACAGAGTTCTATGCATTATGAATTAGTTCAGTATTTCAACAATCACCATTTTTCACAACAGAATTAAAATCAAAATCTGCTTGCACTGGATAGTTAACTGAGAGTATAGCACAAAAATCTCGTTATCAAAGTATTTATTATAAATGAAGACTTTGTCCTTTGCTGATAAAAGTAGTCCTCCCAGGTATATAAATCAATCTTAGTAATAAGCAGCAAGAAGAACCAACTTTTTAGTAATATAATAGTGTAAGAAAAACATATACTTACTGATTTTAAGAGCGCCCATCTCCTTTAAAAAAATGAAGTAATTTTCACAGTGCCTCAGGCAATATGCCTGAAACTACTCAATTCTAAAAATACTTTCATGGAATGCAAGCACTGAACATTCAGACTTAGATCTAGCCCCTGCTTTTTAAAGGTTTTCACATATGTAATACATATGGGTGGTTGTTGCGTATCCAAATAGAAATTTTTATAGGGTTTTTTTTTAAATGTTGTGAATGTATGTGGGTAGTTCAGTATCACATTCTGAAGGTGAAATAAAAATTTACATGACATGCATCATTCCTGAACTCTGTATGTGTATCTGCGGAATACATATAGATATACATACACATAATTACTACAAAGGAACCGTCTTTAAACCACTCTTTATTTTACACCCATTTCCAAGTATCTCTAAGGGAATCTCCTAACCTCTCTGGGCAACCTGTTCCAATGTCCAGCCAACTTCAAGGTAGAACAATTTTTTTTCTTTACACCCAGACAGAATTTCGCGTGTTCCAATTTCTGCTTGCTGCCTTTTGTCCTAGCCTCAGGCACCTCTGAGAAGCATCTGGCTCTGTCTTCTCTACATCCTCCTGCTAAGTAGCTGCAGACAGCAACTAGATCCCTTGCCCCCTCTTCTGAGCCCTCTCTTCTTACGGCTGAACAAATCAAATTTTCTTAGCCTCTTGTCATTGTTAAAGCCCTGGCCTGAGGTTTAGCTAATTAACAGGCCTTGGGGAAACTCCTGGACATGACACGAGAAACTGCTGAACATAACAAATGACAGAATTAAATGAAATTTCAACAAGTAAAAAGATACTTACCCTGAAACCAACATCTGTCCATCATAAGAAAATGCACAAGCCAGAACTGGGGCAGAATGTCCACTCAATGCACATTTATATTTTAATCCCACACCTAAAATACAAAAAGTAAATTATTACATATGGAATTATTTGATAAGGTACACGACAAGTATAAAGCTGTCCCAAAGGCCTGGCTCTGTGACTTGCTGCCTGCGAAAAAGAAGATAAAGGACTGCAGAGACAACTTAACTTTCACCTCTCTGACTTCTTTACTTTGCAGTCCTAGTATCAATCTAACAGTGTTTTAGATAAATAAATGTGTATCTGAGTATACAATAAGGCTTTCACGTAAAAGAGATGACAAAAAGTTCCTACTGACGATGTTTTTTGGTCACCTACCTAGTCTCTACACGGCAGTTACACATCAACATTGCAGTTCTAGCACAAGCCAACACTTCAGGGACTAATCAGTATAATAATGAATTATTTTCATTCCTAAAGGTGATCAGCTCTTGTTCAAGGGCTGAGATGTACAAGATGACAGGAAACTTCTGCCCTGCATGGGATAAAGAGGTTTCAATCTATCAACCTGCCTGAAGGCTACAGTAAAAATGTTGCTTGTTTTCAAAAGATAAAAATGCTAATTGAAAAAAAAAAAAAAATGCCCATCATAATATTAAGTTTGGGTGCTTTGTTTTTGTTTGGTTTTGCTGGTTGTGTTTCTTTTAGAAACCTTCGCTTTTACAATTGTATAAGAAGATCACTAAATGAAAGTTACAATCTCGCAAAGTGCAGCATGCCCTAGCTGCTCTCCAGCAAAGCAGCGAGAAGAAAACTTTCAACTTGCGGTTAGTTTAGCTGTGAATCCACGAGAGTGGCATAAAAATGATCTTAGATGTAAACTGTCACTTAAAAAGTTAAGATAGTTGGATAAGAAAACGAACTACTATTACACACCTAAGTAATCTGCAAACCAAATAAGCCAGAGTTTGATCTGATTATCTTGACCACAAGAAGCCATCTGGAAGTATCTGGACCCATGTTCGCCATCTGATAAAATTCAAAAATATTAACATGACTCAGAAGCACTGAAAAGAATAACCAAACAGTAAACAAAGTCAGCATTCCTACACCGGAACTTGATAGGTCTCCTTAATCTCAGTGCTATTTGCGTAAGCGTTGATAAAAAATAAACTGCACAAATTACAAAAGCTTTTGCAAGTAAGAAACAGATATCATTGTTATATTGTTTCCTGAACACGTCCGTAAAGGCCAGAACTGCACTACTGAGCTTCTCCTGGAAGTTTCCTTGATGGTGAACGGTTCCTTTATCTGCTGAATGTAACAACGTAGTCTTTAAACCTTTATAACCTTACGGTTATACGCATTTCTTTTACAGTTCAGTAGTTCTCAAACTGTAAAACCGCATATGCATGTACAAAATTTTAGAGTATTTTTGCAGACGACTTTCAACATTTTAAATGTTTTAACTTTTCATTCTTATAAACTAAGTGATGATGCATGACTGCAGTTCTGCAAGTGACCTTGAGAAATACTGCATTAGTTATTGAAGATGAAATATAATAGTTAAAAAACCAAAAATTTTTAAGGGCAGTACCAGTCAGTTTATTTGTAAGCATTATGAAACCAAACATTGTGTATCATGTAACCATATGATAAAAGTTTTTCCTGCATCAGAAGAAGTGACTGGCACTGACCAAAAACACAAGATCCTAGAAATTAGTTTGTTTTACCTATATAACAGCTATGAAGCCATATATTGGCGAGCCAAAACTTCACCACTGGTACAAGCATACATGATTGCAAAAACAAGAGTAAAAGTTGCTGCTCAGGACAGAGTTCTGCCTTTAGCTCATTAACGTGTCTACTGAAAAAGCAGAATATAGTTCTGTTTTGAATGGATGAGAAAAAAGGTCATACCCTTTTCCGATTGTCAAAACACACATCTCTTAAAACTAAATTTTAGAAGCCTGGAACAGTCAAAATAAAGGAAACCATTGCCAAAATCTTCTATTTTTTTTCTCCAAATCTTTACACAAATAACTTGCCCTAAGTCTATACATTTTAAATTCATTTTGTATTTACCTGCTTATGGGATTTAAAAAAGTATTGAAAATTCCAAAAATACAAGAGAAATTTTTTTTTAACAGTATCCTCACAATTTCTAAATGACAAATGGCCTTGAGACTTTTTTCTGCCTTTATGCAATCCCCACTTAACTCAGATTTTCACATGGTTAGAATGAAAGAAGGGCAATTTAAATGACTTGTTAAAATGACGCGAAGCTGTATGCAAACTCTAAAATCTGATCTGTCGCCCCAGGGAATGATCAGGTACAGTGACTGAAATGAGAGAATGGAAAAGCAGTACGCATACACAAGATCACGAAGAAAATACCATCTAGTACTTACACCTTTGGGTTTTGAGCAAAATGAGCTGAAACAGCTCTGAAACAGCTTCAAGATAAAGTTTCCTACGTACGTTGCAGTTAAACTTCTGACTTTCGTGGAGATACACGTGGAAGATGCCCGAAACAAGCCTTAAAACTACTACAAGCATCACCAGAATTAAGGCTGGAAATCAGATAACAGGTGCTTTGAGGGCTCATCTTTCAGGCCCTGCAGTTACCGGGAAGAAGGTGCTCTAAAAAGTCTGTTCTCCAGTGTTTTTGCTAGGATTTTTAGCGTCAGATTTGGGTCTTACAGAGAGATGAGCAGGACGCATCAGCTACCCTGTTATAAAAACAAGCGTGTCGTGGTAACTACGAGCACGCACCTTGGTGACTCGGCCGGGATGAGGATTCCCTCCCGATGCACGGCACCGGAGCCCTCTCTTAAGCAGTACTCCACTGTTAATGGGTTACTGCAGCGCTGTACGTGCAGAGCTCTTTGGGATACCTTGGTAGAGGATTACACTATCTTCTACGGAGGTTCAGGAGATACTTTTAGCAAGATCAGCTTATTTGTACCAGGCCCATCAGAGAATTTCACTGAAGTTGATTTATTCAGGAGAAGGGCACCGCTCAAGCTTTGCAGTGAGATGGGAAAGACAGTACGGCTTTACAGCTACCCTAGATCTGACAAGATTCTGTTCAACCATAACTGCATGCAATTTAAAGAAAAAAGGAGAATCGCCTGTTACAAATAATCTAGTGCACAAAGAACCAGCCATAAATCAGCTAAAAAAACCCCACGGTACAGGAAACACTTTCTTGTCTGCATCAGTCTACCTTGACTGGAGCCGCAGGAGGCAACGTTGCATTGGTAACATAATTTGTTAAGCCCCGAGAAAAAACTCACAAGGAAAGGGAGCGGTGGAAATTCAATTCTGAACTGTTTCATCTTCAGCATTTTCCTTTGCCCTCAGATGGTAATTGTTAGCTCATAATGGAGCGTTTTGGTAGTGGTTTCCCCAAGAAAGGCCTACAGAGATCTTATTTAGAGATTAATGCCCCTTGTATCACGACAGAATAATTCAGTGCTGTCCGTGCACCTGCCAGCGGGCACACTTGACTGGCCTGCTATTATCAGTCACTAACTCTGTGCGCTGAAGGATGCTCACCTCCTCTTTCCTGAACTCTCTCCTGCGTCTGTTCTTTTAGACAAGGTGATACAGAGGCAGCAATATTTAATACTTCATTTAGCAGTTAAACACACAATGGCTGCTTGGTTGTAATTCTTTGGCACCTTTTAAGGAGCAGCTCACGTGTACTCTGAAAACAGAAGTGTACATACCTGTACACAGACCATCTTGTCTCCATAAACAGATCCGGAAAGCACAGAAGTGCAACTCTGAGGTTGTTAAGTTATATTATTACTTGCTTAATCTGAAAATGGGGCCTTCCACCCAATTTTCCAGCCTCCATCAAAAGCAGATGATTACCTATGCGATTTTTCTAACCAGTATTAAATACTTTTCCCAGACAAAAATACATACTAAACCTAAATGACTTTTCATCATTTCGGACACGTTTAGTTGTGCAGCTATGACACTTGCCTGGACTGCAATTATTGGTAGGTTTCTAATAGAAGTTCTTATTGCTTGGGCAAATGCTTCTTCCTTCTACACAAGCTATGTGCTTAAATATGAGACGTGCAACCCTTTAATATTCCCATACAATCATACAATATAATTTTTAAAAGCCTCATCTACAAATGAAAGTCTTTCCCTGAGGTATGTGGCACTTCAAAATGCAATTCTCAGTATACGTGTTTTTCACACATGAAGTCCAAATTCTAATTATTTCCGTTCCACAGAAAGCCTTACAAATACGAAATGAATGAAAACTGAACGTAATATGTAGCGCAGCCTTGAGAAAGGCCTACACTACGCATGCCTTAGGATTTTCATCTCAATACCTAATTACATACTAGAGTATCAGATTTCATTCTAAAAAGAAAAAGTATTCAGAATATTCTGAAACATCATTAGCCCATTGTCATTTGTTAATGTTGAGCATTGATGATAAAAAAAGCATACGAATAAAAACAAACTACAGAAAAATAGAATAACTCCTCTTCCATGCTCCTCTCCAGAAGAGTCAAGTAACTAACCAGAAATTGGCTGTGAAGAAATATCACAGCAGGTAACACCAAGATCGTGTGTTTTTTCATTATGAAGGCATCTCATTTTATCATCCCAAACGGTTAAATCACCACATGATGATCCAGTGACAAAGAAATTTCCATTAGGAGAAAATGCACACGCCACCAAAGAACCATCCTTAATATTCCCGGATCTGAAAAGCAAGAGCATAAGAGATTTGAATTTAGAAGAAGAAGTGACGTTCTGAAGAGTTGATCTCTATACCGGAAACCGATACGATAAAGCCAACTGTTGAAGGTAACTTTGGAACTTGAACTAACAGAGGGGAGAGAAGCTGACATCAACGACGCAAAGAGCTGCAAAACGCAGCACTACGAGAACGGGGACCTGCTCTTTGACCACACAGGGAAAAGCGTGAGATGTCACTCCCTGGTCGTCATTTTAACTGAGTGATAAAAAATAAGTTTCAAACTAAAGACGTTCTGCATGCACATATCGTTTAAAGGGCTCAGTTATCTGTTTTATGTTCTATGGTGAGATAATTTTAAAGGTCATCACTGAAAATACAGCTATCATAACAAAAATTTACATTTACAGACAGTGGAAAAAAAAAGAGTCTCCCATGATTTCTCTGTACTCTATTTAAAGCCAAAACAAAACACCCTAAAAATCCACATGATATGCTGTAGCTAAGTAGAATAATACTTTAGTATTTAGTGGCTTATAATGCAGGGCTAATTGTAGACCACTGGTGTATAAGAAAAAGTAATTTGAAAAAAAAAAGTCTTCTGTATTTTAAATAAGCTAGCCAAAGGGCTTTGTAAAACTGATCTCAGATTCAGATTTTTGTGCTTAAGCTTTAGCTATTAGCAAAACTTAAAGAGAAAATGCCTAGCAGATATGCATACTGCTTAATATACTACTTAAAGAACAGCACGTAAAATAAATTAGATTTCTGTCAGCGTAAACAAGATTGTCAAAAATTATATGGTACTCACCTGTACAATTTCAGTGACTGCGCGTTCCAAAGAACTACGCTCCCATCTGCTGCACCTGACACCAGATAGCTGGATTCAGGAGAAAATCGGCACACTCTAACAGGACTGCCACTGGGCTGCTCTAGCACTGCCAGCCTCTGACCATCACGAGTGTCCCAAACCATGGTCGTGCCATCTGTTGAACACGAAGCTAAAACGTGTCCTGATGGAGAGAAGCAGCAGCAGTGGACACCGTATGTATGACCTTTTAACGGTGAGTAGGGAAGCTCAGTAAAGTCCTTCAAAGAATAGAGGCGTATCGTTTTGTCCAAGGAACAAGTAGCCAAGTAAGATGAAGAAAAGGCACAGCAGCTGACATCATTGGTATGATCTGCTAAAGTGTGAATTAATGTCACCATTTTATCTACTTTCAACAAAAATATCTGGAAAAAAAAAGTTACAACATTTACATTTATCTCTTCTATTTCATAAATGACACATACTACCCCAAGAAGATACCTTCTCCAGAAAAAATAACACACACGTTTGTAGAGACAGACTTTTCATCTAAGCGTTGTTTACTTTCAACTTAAATCAGAGACTGTCTACGGCAATGAGATGAGGGGTTTATGACTTGGTTAGAATTAACATAGCTAAACTTTTATTGATTTCAACTTGCAATTTTTGCAAAACTTACATAGTAGCTATTTAGTTTTAAGACAGTGGCAAAATTATTTATTCTACCTAATAATTTATTCTACCTATTTTATGCCGAGATATTTGCTGTATTTGCTGCTCAGATTTGTTATCGTTTGCATCCATGCTAGTGCGGCACAATGGAGTAAATAAGCACTGTAAAAGACGGTCAACACGCTAGCAACTTACAAAGCATGTGGTACGTCTAAAAGACCCATCTCTTTCAGTATGGGATTGGCATCTCAAGTCAAAGCATTAATTAGGGCATTAAATCATTAATACCAAGAATATACCAAAAATTGTCTTATATTACCTGAACAAAAAAATAGCCTAGTAAGTTTTTTCTACTGACCTAGGGTGAAACAGTTCCAAGGTGTCTCCAATCGTCTTCAAACCATCCTCTCTTTAGCTGGAAACGCCATGTATCTCTTTCCAAGCCATCTACATTAACAAACTTTCTGGTGAAACACTAGAATCAGCAGAAGCTTGTCTCACCATACCTGCAAACTTGACTCCAATCAAGTTGCATATATGAAATCTAACATGACTGCTACAACGTATCAGGCAAACAGCCAGAAAAAGGCAAACAGCCAGAAAAACAAAGAGGGGAGCTGTAAGATGAGCGTAACGAACCTTTAACTTCCAGATGAACTCGGGATGCAAGCTGGAAGATGAATTCGGGATGCAAGCTGGAAGAACAGAACTGATGACATGGAGGAACTGAGTTCAGAACGCTCTAAAATAAAAAGAGGACGTAAGCAGGAACAGCACCGAAGAGAATGTGCTCAACTCAGAACAAACAGAAACTGAACACTGATAACAAAGAAAAACATCTGCTACTAAATAACCTAGTGTAATCAGCAATGTCAAAAATGGCGCTAATCAGCATTAGGTATTAACCAATAGATTTGTTTAATCAACAAGGATGTAACGCTAGCAAGCAGAACGCTCCAGCAGAAGATACTAGCACAGTGCAGCCTCGAGAGCAATACTTAAGCTACAAGAGGTATATCAAGGGCCATACGTATAAGAAAATAATCTTCAGGTTTTATATAAAGGTTTTCAGCAGTTGAAACCACATGTATTCAGCAATCTTAGTCTTTGTACTTATACCGCCAAAAAGTCTGGTTTTAAGTCACCAGTGACCAAAAAAAAAAAAAAAAAAAAAAACAGGAAGTTTCTTAGAAATCATTCTGATGTTGAGCTTGCTAAGTATTTTCCAATGAATCATACCTTGCAAAAGATTTAGCAGTTGATACGTTTCTTTTAGAAGTACAGTGTTTAGACTGCTTGTTTATCCCAGTCAGTGTAATTGAGTAGACAACTGTATATACTATTTGGAATAAGACCAGATTAAACAATAAACTCCTATTCACAGGTCTAGAATACACGAGCACTAACAGCTGCTACCAAGTCTGAGGCAAATATTCCTTTATATGCCTGAGCCCCTTATTCAAAATCAAACTTCTGACAGCTCTCGCGCTTCCACAGCAACGTTAGCAATAGCAAAAAGTCAAGAGCAAAACTGTGCCACAGACTGTCACGTAAAGTAAATGCTTCAGGAAAATTTTAATTATTCCTAAAAGTGCCTTCATCTTGTTACTGTCCGCCCCGCTGCACGCGCGTGCACACACGCACACGCAAAGAGGGTTTGGCAGAACCCAGGAAATCCTTCTGCCTGAAGGCCGAAGCCAGGAGCTGCAAAACATCTGTTAATAACATACAGATTACGCTAGTTAACTGGAACCTGGCGCGCTCTGTTCGGACAATACAATGCCAAAGCTGTAAGCCCACTGACCACATCCCCATTCTGCAACTTGTGCCCCTCCCTTTGGTTATAAAGGGCACTAATCCAATATATTTCTACATCTCATCTGGAGAGAAAAAAAACACTAACAGTCTTCTTTAAACTGTGAGAAACTGAGGAGCTGGACAAAGCTTCACATCTGGAAAGAGGAGTTTAAAGAAAGACACCTCGCTGCTGCTGCTGCTGCTGAGATGGAGGGGAGGGGGCTGGGGCCCAGCGCCGCAAGGCAGAGGTGGGAGGGAGAAGTTTCAGGTCGGCAGTCCGCGGGAGCTGAGGGAGCACAAGGACTCGGTGCCCTCGTTACCGCCCAGACGTTCACCGCC